GGACTGATGGAGGCAGAAGGCAGGAAGAAGATTGGCTGTAATTTAAAACCATCTTTGGAGCTCTAAAAGAATTCCAGGTTGAGTGATGGACACATTTACTCCTCAGAACCTTTTACATAAATATCCACCACTTAATATGCACTTTCAAGAGGCATAAATACCATCCCTGTGTGTCAGCCTTTATGGAAGAGAGATTTCCAGAGCTGCTTCTTTGCTATGTGGCTACAACCACACAATCACAATTCTACTAATGCTGTACTTGGAGTACAGCCTTCCCCACTGGCCTAGTCTCGGAGGTCGAATCTGCCCCTCCTGAAGAACTTGGAGGCCTCTTCCATTTCTGTGCAGCCATGCAAGTCACTCCTTTCTTTGCTCCTGGAAAGATGGAAGCTCATGTCTCCAAATATGCTCTACATCTAAGACTGGTGGAGAACAAAAGTGTATTTTGTTGATAGTGCTGGGCAAATGAATAATACCCAGGTATGGTTTCCCAGGGCTGTCTGGATCATGTACCACTGCCTCTCTGTTCTCAGAGGAACTGAACATGCTTGAAGGCAGGCATGGTGTCCTCTGGAGGACTGCTGGCTCCTCATGAAGGACTGAGCTGCAATAGCTAGGTTCTGCCTAGTGAGGCACACCCCCAGCTCACTGCCCCTGCCGCATGCAAACTGGTGAGTCTGCCCTTCAGGACGACAGCAGTTGGCTTTGTCCTTCTCTCCTCTCCCAAGGCAGACTGCTGGCCACCACACAAATAACACCATACTGGACCTTCAGCCTGGTGCCCAGGGAAATCAAAGAGGACAGGTAGACTCTCTCAGTTGGAAGGCAGAGGGTTCCAGCACTCACCCCACCAGATGCACCTTCAGGCAAGCAGGATGCCTGTCTGCTGCTGCCACCCAGAAGGACATGGATGACACTAATGAGTGGAGCACCCAGTGATGCAGTGTCCAAGGAGACACTCTGTAAAGTCTAAAGAGGCAAGAGAATTGGAGAATTAAAACCATTCTCCTATTTGGAAGCGGTGGCACAGTCATTTTCACAGTACACAATCTCAGTAAGATTACCCTGGTGGCATAAAACACTGTTTACTGGAATTAATGCAAGAAACACCATACAAAACCTTTAAAGGTATAAGAATAAATGAATATAAAACTCCAATCAACGTTTATGGGTTTGCTATATCTATATTGATACTAACTCTATCTGTCTCACTTTTACACACTCTCATGGCACAAAGGCTCCTCTGTGGTGACAATTAACTCAGTTTATGATTTATTGCTGTATGATTAGGAGCTTCTGTCTCATGATGTGTGTGGGCTTCAGAAGGATCAGGACTGTGTCACTTATGACTCCCATTTGAAACCCCAGGGCAGTGCCTGAAGTATCTGTAGAAGGATAAAGGGAAGGAAAAAGAGAGAGAGGGAGGGGAGATGGAATGCCAGGCACAGTGCTGGGTACCAGGAAGACTTGGTGCCCAACAGTGGAAGTGTTTGTGGTCCTCAAGGGAAGTGTTCAGGGCTGCTGGAGTGGGGGCAAGCACCAGAAGTGCCCCTGGTGCAGTGCGAAGGCCATGGTTGGAAGGGAGAGGGCCTAGGAAGGCTTTTATGAAACAGGCAGGGGCTCTGAAGCTACCCTGTATTGCAGCTTTAGGGGCAGCTGTGGCCAGAGGCAGACGTAAGGGCACTGATATGCAGGCTAGGCCTTCACTGGGTAAGGAGAGGCCAGGTGCAGAGACAGCACTCTTGGGTGGACAGAAAGGCAGCTCTGACTTCCAGAAAACACTGTCAATTTTCATGCAAAGCCCTTTCACTCAAAAACACATTGCCTTAGAGAACTTTAGGTTCCCTAAGGGCTAATTTCCTAGGTTCACACTAGCAACAGAATATTCCTAATCCCTAAACACGCATGCAGGTCTTGTGTATGAAAGACAATGATGAGGGTTTCAGGAGTTCGCTGTGGTTTGTTAAACAGCATCACACAGAACTGCATGGCTAAGACAGTGGAGCAGGAACTGCTGTCCTGAGGCCCGCCCAGCCCAAAGGGACCTGTTCATTTTTACTAGGGAACTATGATAAATGAGCAAAGAAAGACACTGGTCAGGATAAGCCACTTTATTTAAGAGCTTCGAAGCCAAAAGTGGTTTAACATAGATGCATGGAAGATTTATCTAGATGATAAAATATCTGAACTTGAAAGGTACATAAATTATAATTTTGCAGGTTTCTTTCCTTTTAAGATCTCACATAGTCAAGTGCTTTAAGTAATGAATGAAATGTACGTGAAGTTGAGCACATTTCACACAAGCTGTCTGCTTAGTGTCTGCAGAGCACTTCAGATGAGACTGAACTCAGGCCATCCGTGCCTGTGCCCTTTAGCATCCATCAGACAGTGGGGAGCACTGGGAAGATTAATAAATATAATAAAAATATGACAGCTATTATTTATTGAGCACTTTCCATACTATACACTGTGCACTGAGGTCAGTGCTTCATATACTTACCTTGGTTAATGACCCAAAGAGTCTTATGTAATAGATACAATGAGTCCCATTTTACAGATGGAAAAATTTGGTTTAGAGAGTTTCTGTGATGTGTAGGAGGTCACACAGGCAATATTATCTGACTACTACCACACTGCAACACACATGAAAATGTATGGCCCTCAGCAAATGCTTAAAAATGTTAGTTATCTCTGACTTCATACTCTTTTAAAAAATTCACCTATACACTATGGAAAGTTTATGTTTGGTTTATTTTCATTTATTCATCTGTTCTATCATTCATGTATTTTATGCATAGTACTCTGCTGGGTGCGAGGGTTACAAAATTGGGGTTCACAGTTCCTAGCCCATTGAGAGGGCCAGACCAATTTCAGGCACCTGGTTTACTCATATGCATACACAGGGGAGAGGCAGACGCCTGCAGGGGACCTGTGTCCTGCCATAAGCCAAAGATACAGCCTGAAAGAGACAATTTTAGTCTTCAACTGTAGTCCCTGCTTCTTCCAATATTTGCTATTTTCTGAATTGAGTCTTCATAGACACTCAGACTCCTAGGCCTTCTGACAGTGTGGCTGCCAGAAGCCCTTTATCATGCAGAACAGCCTTCTCATCCGGAGGCTGAGGCTTTCCAGTAAAACCACTTCAACAGATAATGCAACTTTCCCACTAATCACCCTGCACAGTGCTTCATGTCCCTCCACCTTCCCTCGGCCCCCCATCATCTTGTTTCATCACCATTTGCCTGAAATAAGGAATAGGCCGAAGAAGCAGCACTAGTAACTCTTTACACGTCAGGCATGGCAGTATGTATTTTAGGTACTTATGAAAATCCCCATAATAAACTCTAAGATAGGCACCATGCTTACTCCTATTTTAGTTTATTCAGAGGAAGCAGAGGCTGAGAATTAACATTTCTTCAGGGCCAACTACATGCCAAGCATCTGCTAAGCTTGCCAAATCCTCACAACTCAGAGGCTGGGTGACCAGGTCTGTGACCACCAAGCTTCCTTTCTCTCTGTGGCTGGACACTGCCATGGTTTGAGAGGAGAAACCGGCTGCACCAAGACCCCCTTCCGTGCTCCCTCCAACACCCTTGGTTAACATCTTGCCACTCCCCACAAATGGCACCAGGCACCTCCCTCCACTGTGTTCCCCTCTCTGGCCCTCCCAGCCAATTTCACAGAGCAAATGCAGTGTCTCCACCAACACTGTGAAAAGAACCACAGCAGGTATGTGGATCATTCAAGCCCATAAAATACACCCGTAACTGACTGATAGGTGTTTTCTGCAGCCCCAAATACTCTCCCAAATCCATGGGGTCTTAGGGTCTAAGAGACCTAAGCCAGAGACTAGCAGACTCACTGTCTCTGGAGAGCCTTCTGCCAGTTTGAGAGGATGACTCCAGGAGCCCAGAGCCACTGTGACGGGCAGAAAGGCACTGATTCTCAGTGCAGTGTGAGCCTGATGTTCTGGGGGGCTCATGGAGTTGGCAGGGTACCATCTCTGGCCAAGTCAGAGGGTCAGACCCCTTGCTCTGTTTCTACCAGGCTGCAACTGGCACTTTATTCCACCTGGCCCACCACACTTGGCTCCAGGAGTCTGGTGTCTGAGTTCTCTCTGAATCCTTGGGGCAAGGTAAAGTGGATGCCAGTCAAATGTTTCCAGAATTAATGACTAACCCAGTCCTCACCTCAGAGAACAGGCTGTTTGCGAGACTACTGGGAGCCCCTCACTGGACAGAGAAAGGGCTCAGAAGAGGGGAAGGGAGGGCTCAGAGGCAGGCACAATGCGGCCAGTCCAAGAACATGAGGTTTTCTTGCACAGCATCATTCCGTCGCTTCCTCACTCCTCCCGGGAACAGTGCTGTCCTCCACGCTTAAGGCTGCTGTCCCCATGGGCAGGCACAGTCCCAGCGTCCAGAGGAGGAAGTCAATGGCAGGGCACTAGCTCTCCTCTCAGACACTACTGACCCTTCTCCCTCAAACAAGCCACTTTCTCTCCCTGCAAAATGTGCCCGCTCTGTTGTTTCCCACCCTTAAACTCTTTGACTGACATCCTAGTTTTAGCAGCAGCAGCCCTGATAACAGCTCTCCAGCACCACGTTTTCTACCTCTAAGGCTCCTACCAGCCTCAGCTCTCACAACTTTGAGTGTGGACTTGACCTTGTGGCAGCACCGAGTAGCTCAAGGTATTTGCTGAATAGTTATTTTTAAGTGTTGAGTGCAGGCTGCTGGAGGTGGGATCCGAACCCAAGTCTAATTAGGCCCAAGTGGGAGTCACGGGGTCAGGGAGGTTAGGAAGATGCGCCTCAGCGACAAAGGGCGGCGCGTAGAGATGGGGCGGAGCTGTTCTCTTGCAGCTCCGCTGCCACCAGTCGCCCGAGAGCCAGCGCCTGGGTCTCCACCAGGACGCGAGTCACGTGGGCCCAGCCCAACTCCAGGTCCTCGCAGGCGCCCAGGGGGTCAAAACGGGGCGGACCAGGGCCCTTGGCGGCACTTACCTGAGCCTCACGGGGTTCCGCAGTGGCAGCGGGCGAATGTCGGGGGACGGCGGGGCCAAACCAGGACTGTTGTCCACGCTCAAAGATCAGACGGAGGCCAAGACGGGTGTCGGGCCGCTGGGTCGCTTCCGGGCCGGACAGCCGAGAGACTGGGCCGCTCCGCCCCCTCGCTGGGGGTGGGGACCAAGGCAAATTTGACCTTGAGCTTCCCGGGCTCCCCGCTGGGGGCGGAGTCTAAGGGAAACAGCTCTGCGCCCCGCCCCCTCGCAGTGGATGGGTCCTAAAACCAGTCTCGCCCCGCCCCTTAGCCAAGCCCCGCCCACTCCCACCCCCTCCGCTCCTGTCCATTGGGTCCCAACCGGTCCGTACCTGTTGGTGTGGTGTGCACATTTGCTTTTTATTTTCCTGCTTTGTATTCCGTTTGTTTCTTATTTTTATTTAATTTCATCTTTTTTCTTAAAGATTTAATTTTAAAAATCGGAGTAATGCATAAGTATTTTTTACAAAACAAAATTATCGCTTATAATCAAAGCAACAGACTACCATCCTTTGCTTTGCTCCCACCCACACGCCTTTTTATCAGTTCCTCCGTTTAGTTTTTCTGGTGGTCACCTCTCGTCGCTAAAAAATAAGCTTACATAGCGATTTCTTGATTTATCTATTGACTCTCTGCCATGTTAGATGAGGATTTACTCTTACTGCGCCCTTGCTTCCTTCTCCTGACAAATTTACACCTCTGTTCTGAAGCCCTGCCCTGGCCAGGCTGAGACCTCAAACCAGGAGTGCATGAAGGTTTTCTGGGGACTGATGCTTCTACAATTGTGGGGGAAGGGGAGAAAGTTGTAGAAAGAGAACACAGAATTAGGTCTGGAAGGTGACATTTACTTAGAATGAGGAAAGAAGTCCCAAAGAAATCCTAGGGGGTTGGAGATTCCAATCCTTATGCCCTGAGGTCTTCTTAGGTAATTTAGGTCTCTAATTTGCTTCCCTAATGCAGTCATAACTCCCAGCATTCACTAGGGCCCAGCAATCCAGAGACAGGTCCTGAAGGTCAAGATTCATCAGTTCTTGCCAATCGGATTTCCTAATGAAATGAACTTGAGTGTGTGAAAAAGACATCAAGGATAATATCAAGGTTTTGTGGTTGCTGTATATGTAATTTTCCGGGTAGTTCCCATCATGGTGACAAGTCCTCACCTGAGTATGGGGGCTGCTTTATGAAGTTGGCTCTGGACCTTGCCTCTATTGCCCGTATCCTCACAGTGCTCCTATGAGGCGGGCTGGGCAGGCACAGTGCCCCATAACTTGTCCCTCCTGTATAGTACAGAGGGACACAGCTGGTACCTACTAATTTCCCAGGCAAAGGGTACTGGAGACAGAGAATCTACTCCCTCTGTCTCCTTTCTCTCCTGCTTAGGGTGTAAAATGTGTCTCCACAAAATGACCTTGGGCGTATCACTTTGCCTTTCCTTGAAACTGGAGGTAACAACCTCCTCCCACACTGGGTTTGAGGGAGGATTAGGTAGTTTATTATCTAAAAGTAAAAAACTGATTATTTTTTGATGTTCTTTTATTGTTGTGGAGTCAGTCTGTGTCTCAGTGTAGTGGGAGCTTCATGGGAAAATTTAGGGATTTCTAAGGATCTTTATGTGTGACATGCAGTACCACAGGTTGTTTAGAACTGTTGGGTTACAATCAAAGGCTAAGTCATTCTGATTCAGAACCATGTAAGGGAAGCTTTCTTCCTAGGATAGTAAAGACAAAGAGTCTGTCTAGCCTTAGTAAAGACTACAGACCTTGCCTTGGCTTCCTGGACAAGAAGTAGTGTCTACTTCCAGTGGGAGAGAAGAGCCTCACATAACAGCCACGCTTTATCTGGCTGAAGGAAGATGGCCAAGCGATGTCATCTCAGAAAAGAAGAGGATTTTACATAGAAGATGTGTCTGTTTGAGTCTGTCAGAAGCAGATCCCAAGATAAGTAGTTGAGTGTTTGGGAGGTATAGGGAACACCAATAGAGAAGTGAAGATGTCAGGCAACCTTATGAAGAAGGCCTTGGAAAGCCAGCTACAGTAACAGATGATTAGAGCTGAATCTTGGGAGAAGACTCCAGAACGCAGTGTAAACAACATGCTTTGCAATTATCCTGCCCAAGGACTGTCTGCAGGAGGCAGATCTTCAAGTGCAAAATAGAAGAAACTGACAGATTAGTTCATGTTTTTAAAGACTTAAGAAATTATTTCCAGGCATAAAAATGTGGTTACCAAAAGGAGGTCAAGCTATAATATAACACTACCTGCAGTCTTCCTCTCACACCTCATTCTAATGAAATGAGATGCTTTGGGCAGCTATAGGGGCATATGTGGCCAATAGTCATGGTCTTGGGCTGTGATCTGAGAACATTACAGAAAATTGGCTTTCAAAGGAGCTATGATGGAGTTATAGGCTGGGTCAGCCTCTGTGTTTAGAAGAACCAATTCTAACCAATTCTAACCGTCACTTCTGAGCTTTCAGAAAGAGCAAACGCAGCCTGGGTGTGGTGGCTAGGGTAGAGTTTCAACTTCATTTTCTTTAGGATCCACCCTGGGGATTGGTGCATCACACTTACAGGTGTACTGGGTGGAGAGATCATGGAGGCTTGGCCTTGGGATCTGTGTCAGGTCCCTCACCCTTTCCTCTCTGGCCTTATTCCCTTGTGCTGCTTCCTGGCCACCATGAACTAAGCTCACATCCTTCTGTCGTGTTATCTTTGTCTTGGAGTCAGTGAATCATTGACTGAAACTGTGAGCAAATTAAACTCCTTTTTTAGTTGTGGGGTTTGGGTACTTTGTCTTAGTGATAAGAAACCTGGCTAATACATTGAGTAAAAATAAAAGTGAAAAAGGAGACTGATAAGCTTTTAAAATGACCAAAGAGAGCAAACTTTTAAATCACTACAAGTACTTCACAAAGTGGGCACTTTCTTGCAACTAATGAATGGACAATGCTAGTGCCAGGTCTTTCTTTTACAGCCGTAGAACTAAGGCTCCCTTAGAAAGCCTCCATTAGCCATATTTGGCATTGAGCTAAAAGAGTCTTTGCAAAACACAAATCAGTTCTCAACACTCCACTGCTCAAAGACCCCAGTGGCCTCTACCACAAGTAGGATAAAATCACAAAATGTCCCCATGGTCTTCAAGGCCCTTATGAATCCTGCTCTGCCAAGCCCTCTGAACATTTGCCACCCCTCACCTCTTGGCTCTGCTGCCATTTCTTGGACACACTGGCCCTATTTGCACACCTGGCCTATTGTGTTGCTGTTCTCACTGACATTATGTATTCCCAACACACTTAAAGTAACTTTCTCAATTCATTAGCTTTCTAATAGACTACCTGGCAAACACACACACATGCATGCACATGTGAGGAACTCTCATATACTACCCTTTTTTGGAGCACTCATTGCTTATTTTTGATAGCTGTTTCTCTCACTAAAGTAAAAGATCCAAAAGAGGCGGAACCCATATATCTTATTTTCTGACATACCTACACCTAGAACAGTGCCTGGTGCCTGATAGGTATGCAAAAATATGTATTGAGTGAATATAAGAATAATTTAATAAATTGAATTGAATGAATGAAGACTATCAGTAAATATACAACGGAAAAGTATTCTAGAATGAAGACTTTCAAAGAAATCTAGATTGGATTCCTCTTGCCTTGGAAAGAGTTTTGGGAATACAGAAAAGGTAAAATGAAGTAGCTGAGCTGCATTATACAATCTGATTCATAATTACAGGTTGAGTATTTGAGAAATTTTGCTGGTTTATATCTGACCCAGTGTCTGTGTTAAATATTTAAATAAAGGTTAGTTTGAAGGGCTACATTCTCAATTAAAATAGTAAAAAGAAAAAAGGTTCCCCTTGTCATTTTAATAATTCAGAATTGTGCTCTGTGGCTTCTGTTTGGTGTTGGAGAGCCCAGTATGGTAACTAGTTACCTTAAAATAGAGGCCTTGATCAAATATTTAAGATCTCACTTATTTTCATTTTCTGCATCTTCTGCATTCCTGCTTTTTCTTACCCATTCCGCAGCCACACAATTCACACACTAAAGTTAATAAAAATGTTTCATGGATTATTAAATGCAGCTAAACAATGAGCTTGTGCTAGAACATAAGGCCAAAGTGGGACCACTTTGCTGTTCTAACAAAATAATTTTTCCTTGAAGGTGTGGACTAAGAGTTTACAGAGGCTGCTCCCCTTTAGGCTGAAGTTTTCTAAGGCAGATGTGTGTGTGCTGCAGGAGAGGGTTTCAAGGGGAAAAACAAATGCTCCCTAAAAATATGTTTTACAGTGGTGCAATGAAATCTTGCAATCAAGAATAGCTGAAACCATAGCTGTAAGTGGGCCCTTGAAATTATGACAAGAAGATACAAATAGTGCCTGTTTGCTACAATAAACATTACACCCAGTAGTGAGTGAGTTTTGGTCAGTATCTATGTTGGCTTAGTTGTCTACGGAATGCTCCAGCAGCTTCCAGTGCATAAATCATCTTTCCCTAATGGAACTTTTATATTTTGCCACTGCTTCTAAAACTGGAATCCAGGCTTTGATGTCCATTTAGGACTACTCAGTAGAAAGATCACTTCTTTGATCTCTTCTCTAAGTGGTCAGAATCATAGCACATTGTTCAGGATGGGGAATACTTTAGGGATAACCCATCATTTTGTGATGAAAGAGCGAGTACACAAGGAGGTTAGATGGTTATCTCAGGATCACACACAACTGGCCAGTGGATAGGGCTGGAACATCAGTCAGGCATTTTTTTCTGTTTCAGCAATGGAAACAGTCTGCTCACTGAGTGGAAAGAACCACAATGGTAGGCTTGGATCTGCAGAACTTACAGGAAGATTGGCATTCTGGGCTTAGAAAATGACAGGAAGAAGGCAGCTCTGAAAAGTTAGAAAGTGAAAACCTTAGGAGTGAGCTGTTACTAGAGATGGTTTAGGCAGGATTCCTCTATAGGGATGGATGATTAAAGTCCAGACACTTCCTTCCCGTCTCACTCACTCATGAGTGAAAGTCCTGGGTGAGGCCTTCTGACAGGGCACAATTACACATACTTTTTTTGTTGTTTTTGGTACTGGGGATCAAACTCAGGATCTTGAACTCACCAGGCAGGCACAGTGCCACTGAGCTACATCCCCAGCCCTATTATACATACTTTTGACTGTCCTGGGAAGGTGTTGGCAAATCCCTTTGAATACGA